CTGTCTGTCTGTCTGGCTGGCTGGCTGGCTGGCTGGCTGGCTGGCTGGCTGACTGGCCGGCTGGCTGTCTTCATCTGGAAAAATTGAAAAAGTGAAAAGAAAAGCAACTAAGATGATTAAAGGCCTGGAGGTTAAAACATGTGAAGAACAGTTGCAGGATTTGGGTTGAGCTAGTCTAGAGAAAAGAAGGACTAAGCAAGACATGATAGGAATAATATTCAAGTATTTGAGAGGCTGCCACAAAGAGGAGGGGCCCAATTTATTTTACAAAGCACTTGAAGGCAGGACAAGAAACAATGGATGGAAACTAATGAAGGAGAGAAGCCTGAGGAGCCCGGGGCTGCTTCACCCTGCTCCTCCCCCCATTCCTCCAAGGCCAACAAAACTGCCCCCTCAATCTCTGTCAGCCACAGCTCTGGCTCATTCTCCCCTGTGGATTCAGGCTCTGATGGGGCCACAACACCAAGGTATTTCAGCTTCAGCTTCAGTATCTGTCCTTCCAATGGGCAGTCAGGGTTCATTTCCTTTGGGATTAATTGATTTGATCTCCTTGCAATCCAAGGGACTCTCAAGAGTCTTCCCCAATGCCACAATTGGAAAACATCAGTTCTTAGACACTCAACTTTCCTTATGGTCCAAATCTACTACTGGGGAAACCATAGCTTTGACTATACAGATCTTTGTCAGCAAGGTGGTGTCTCTGCTTTTTAATATGCTGTCTAGGTTAGTCATAGCTTTCCTCCCCAGGTGCATGTGTCTTGTAATTTCATGGCTACTGTCACTGTCTGCAAAGATTTTGGAACCCAAGAAAATAAAATCTGTTACTCCATTTCTTGCCAGGAAATGGTCAGATGGGATCAGTGGCGGGTTGCTCTTACCTTCACTACTGGTACGCTGCTCATAGTCCATTTGTGCATGTACTGGACTTGTGCTGTGCATGCACCTGATGTATGCTGTCTACGCATGTGCACTCTACTACCTCTGCAACACCCAGCTACTCGGTGGAGGTTGCACAGGTGCCACATGCTGTGTGTGTGTGNACCTATCCATCTATCCATCCATTTATCTATCTATTTATATATCTACTTACCTACCTACCTACCCACCCACCCATCTGCCCATCCATCTAAGTTTGGAGGATCACAAATAAGAATGTGTAAGCAATACACATATCAGCTACATGTTAGTCTTCCAATGAATTTTCACTCCTAATTCAAAGAGAATTTGTATCATATTCTAGGGCCAAGGGAATTTGGATCCCGAAAACCACAGGTTTCACGTCAGCCTTTTTCCAAACCACCAACCCCATACAATCCAGATCATTGTGACTCCAAATTTTCATTTGATGCTGTAACGATGCTGGGGAAAGAGTTACTTTTCTTCAAAGACAGGTAAGTGCCTTTCTTTATCCAAGATCCCAGTGACTATAGAATATTATCAGTTTTATTTCTAGAAGAGGAATACGGTCCTGATTTTTTTTTTTAGGAAGGCCAGTTTCTAGCTATATGACCAAATATAGCCATTTAGGTTCAAATTCCCTTTTGGGGAATAAAGTCAACATCCCCTTTGATAAGATTGTTTCACACAAAACTCTTGGTTCTGAAGGGAAAAAACCCATCTAAAACTCCCCTCTTTCTGCTTCCTGCTCTAGAATGACTCAATGATTTTGCCATTAGGCGTAACTTCTATGGTGTCCACTAGATAAAAAGGAAAGTTATATACAATGACTCACATAAATATTTTTT